CGGGCCCGGGAGGGAAGGGGCCCCTGAGGGGAGGGGGGAACCTGTGAGGGCAGTGAGGGACCGAGCAGGGGTTGGGGGAGAATGGGGGTGAAGGAGGGGGTGAGGTGAGCGGGGACGTGAGGAGAACGGAGAGGAGAGGCCAGAGGGGGCTGTGGGACGTGAAGCCATGAGGGAAGTGGGGGTGCCATGAAGGGTTCTGAGGAGAAAACGGGGTGGATGGAAAAGGCATGAAAGGGAAGATGAGAAAAACTGAAGGGGAACCATGAGGGAAGTGGGATGAAGGGGAGGATGGTGGAAATGACAAGGGGAAGAAGGGTTGCTCGTGTAACATTGCGAGCAAGTGCTAGCTCAGGACCCAGAAATGCCGTGTCAAATCCCTAACCCCTTTGTATGGGCGACCCAACTTGTTTTCTTATGGATATGAAAACAAGAGCTTGGTGGCCCTCAAGATAGCCAGAGAATCCCTCCTGCACACAGGCTGGGGAGGCCCCTGGCCTTCTTGCTGAGATGGACAGGGAAGAAGAGATGCTCCCTGTGTCACTGTGCACCAACCGTCAGCTTCTCCACAGCCAGGGAGCTGTCACCCTGCTTGCACAAAGGACTTCACTTCCTTATTGATGCTTTCAGAGCACATTGATCCCAAACCCATCCATAGAGGCCAATGAATATGGCAGTAAATGTTTTGTTAATCTACTTTCGGGTGCTGTTTAGTACAGAGGTGAAGTAAAAACCCCGAATTCTTCAGCCTGTGCTGTGCTGCCCTTGTGTGCAACACAAGCAGTCCCTGAGCTAAACAGCACAGGCTGTAACGCTGGAGATACTCAGCTTCTCGTATGTTCTCTAGTTCACCTTGGGAATAGAAGAGGGTTGAGGCAGCAGCTTGAGGTCAGCGTGATTTGGTCAAAGGTCTGTGGTTGCTCCCGCTCCACAACAGGAGAACACACAGATGTGGTTTCATATCCTAGCCGCCTGCTCGGGGTAACCATCTGGCCACGGAGCGGCTTGTTTGTACTGACTCCTCCCTTGTGACAAATCCAAACAGACTCCGTGTCTCCTGCGCCATATTCAAGGTCCCCAGCAGACGTGTATTCTTCATCTTCCAACAACAGCATCTGAAATGTAGAGCTTCATATGGCCCTATGGGATTCTCCACCTCTGATGTGCCAGCCTGCTCCTGCATCACTGATATTTAGCCTTGAGACTGATCCCAAACTATTCCTACCAGTGACTCAAACTGCATTGAGGCTCTTTGTGTGGCACACACACGGGAGAGAGAAATTCTGGTGCGTTATACTGAGATAAATCCAGGGTCACAGCTCTTAAACTCAGAAGAATTTCTGAGTTTAATCAGAATTTCTGAGTTAAATCAGAAGATTTGAATCATTAATGGAGATCAGCTCTCACTGCGGTGATCTAACACCCGCTCAGCTCCCGTGGATTGAAGGAAACAGAGAACAAAGCTGTCTATCAACACAGGCCAAGCAGCCTCAGAGAAATCTGCTCCTAAAAACAAACCCAGAGCAGAGTGAACTCCAGAAGGTCTGTGTGTTCTGGAGACCTTGACCAAAATACACTACAAGTCATTGGGAATAAGCAGGACTCGTGTTCTGGACAACACAGGCTGCATATAGGCTTCCCGCTGCCTCACTGACATCTCTGCAGATGAATGTACTATCTAATAGAGCAGGTGCTTGCCAGTTCTGTGAACATGACTCTCATGTTAAAAAAGCTGAAGCTGCCTGATGGGTTTAGGAATTGTTAAAGACAAAGACAGAAGCTTGTGTGAATGCAGAATAAATGAAAAAGCCTACAGACTGTTTCTGTCACTCGAGCCCTACCTGTGGCCTGTGTACATCCCATGGATTTCATACAAAATCTGAGTGCTTTTTGAAGCACTCACACTTGTTACACCCAGCAGCTCCAGGGAGGTTTCCTCCACTTCCTCCAGAACAGTATCTTTAAGCATCAACCATATAATAAACCTTAGCAGATTAATTAACAGTCCTCAGGAACCCGAAACAACCATTTCAAGATTGATAATCTCAGTGGGGTTTCAGTATCTTCTAAGGTCTGCTCAGAGCTCTGTATTTATACCATTCACTTCAACTGAACAGCAAAACTGCATGCGGATGATACAGAAGTAACATAATAAGCAGCAGTAATTGGATTAATAACCCATTAGCACGAATTTAGAGTCCCAATGGTTATTACTGGGAGTAGAGGGAGGAGCTGCCATTCTTCATATTAGTAAATGAATCAAACACTGGCACCAAGAAACAAGAAAATTATTCCTTTAGATGAGTGATTTTGTGTTCTCGTTTCTGCAGGCAGCACTCACCAGTGAGGGAACTATTTATTAGCTCCACTTTCAAACACGTCTGTGCCCTGTATTAACCCCAGAGTAAGCAGCACAGGCGGGTACCACAGCCTGTTTACAAACAGGCTTCACACCGTCACACACTGGTGACCAAAGAAATCAGATTGCTCTAAGCTGCTTTCATGCCTGGCATTTAGATTCCCATATAAAAACTAAAGACTTATTAGGCTTTTCCCACCCCACTTCTGACGATGGTTTTGTTCTCAAACCGGAGAAGCCATGGTTTCTTCCTTTTCACCCTTCCTGCTTAGAAGATGCCTAGCAAAATCCCACAGCCTATTTCAAGGATTAAAGAGGGCACTGCTTTTGCTGGAGTCCTCCTTTACATCTTGAGCACTTCCCATTTCAAACTCTTTTTTTATATAGCCTGCCCACCATTTTGTGTGGACCTGCCTATGGAAAAAGGGGCCCCAGCTCCCCCAGCTACCTGAAATACACTGCCAGTGTTTGCCAAAGCCTCCCCCAGATCCCATCTGACAACCCACTAATATCTGCTGGGCGTTAAGGAAGAGCCCCCCCCCCCCGCCCCCCCCCAATTTAACACATCCCTAAGGCCAAAATATCAGGAATGCTGCAGCAAGCAGGAGGAATTGGAAAGCTCAGAGTTGCAGCATCTGAAGTCCAGATCTTGAGCAGGTTTGCAGGTTGTATATTAATTTATTGATAATAAATAATGAAAAAAGGTTCACAGTGTGGAGAGAGGGAGAGCCTAAGAAGCCTGGAGATGGACCACAGTTTTAAAGACTGCTCTGTAGAGAGAAAAAAAAAAACAGAGGAAAAAGGAAAATGAATACCTCTAAGAACTCAGCTGTGCAGCCCACACAGCCTGCTGCAGACACCAGCACCCATTTGTCAAGATCTGTGTTATGAGAACCTGGTGCTGTTTCACCTTGCAGGTCTGATAGCTCATGCTAAATAAGCATGAGCATGATCCAACTCTAAATTAACCCCCGAAGCACACTTCCTCAGCACCTTTCCACCACAGCACCAACAGTGCTTCACACCTCATAGCCCCCCCCAACCCTTTCTGACCTGTTAGGTGCCTGCAGAGAGGTCGATTGAGGACAAAGAAGCATTTTGCATTCCTTTGCCAGCTCATCAGAACCATTCCCAGGTATCACATCTCTCCAGGTGGTAGTGAAGTATAGTCTCTTCAGCCCTTTGCTCTTTAACTGACACAGAGTTGTTTAAGATGCAAGGAGACCTCCTGTATTAGCTACAGAGCTCTCCATCAGCCTTCAAAAATGCTTTAAAAAAGTGAACATCAAATACTTTATCTCATTGCTTATATATCCCCAATCTGCTTATAGCTAGAAGCCTCACAGCAGAAATCCCTGAATCTCCCCATATGGCAGTAAGATAAACAGCTGCTAAACTACAGCAACTGGATAGGGGAAAAAAAAGGTACTTTTTAATTAAGATATGCAGATGCTGCTAAACCTCTCAGCCTTTTTGCACTGTTCCTGTCCACACAGATATGGATAATGCTGCCACTAGCCTCATGCATAGACCTGGAAGTGTCACCATCAAGCTTTAGTTTTCAGATGTCCCAAGTTATCCTGAGGATGCAATTGTTGCAACACTTATTAGGGAAACCTCACAAAACTCAAAATCAACAATTCCCAAGTCTTGTGTTAAGCGTTCCACAAATATCCCCAAGAAGTTATTTTACAGAGGCAGCATGGACAGAAGTTCGAGCTGTGCAGCAGCAGAACGGATTAGCCATGTCCTTGCTTGTCCTTAGCCGCTGAGCTCCCTAATGCTCGAATATTTAGGTAGCAGTACCGGTGGCAGACATCCAGCCTTTGCTATTTGGCAGGGCAATGAGGCAGAGCTGCCGGTGGAAGAGGATGCTACAAACACGATCCGAAGCTGCCACCTAGTGCTTGCTGTGGACCAGAGGCAGAGCAGCCTCAATTAGGCGACAAGCACCGAAGGGTTATTTCTAGTTCCCAGGAAAAGATTGAGCAAAGAATTTTTCCTTTTGCCTGGGGCGAGCATGAGAATTGCAACGTTGGAATTAGATTCAGGGACAATTACGGCTGACATTTTGCTTTTTCATCCTTTTAAAGAATTACACACTGTGGTTAAGCAGCTCTAATACAATGCAAATACAATATATATATAAAATATGTATAACAAAGACAGATCTAATATAGCACCAGAGATCTGAGAGGATGCACCAAAGAAAGCATCACACCCATTCTGTATAGAGAAGGCAAGTGACTGCCTGCATCTGGCTCAGCATGCACACCTCTAACCACTGGCCTGAGATCTTCACCAGCATCATACTGGGCTCCCTGTGACCCCCCAGACAAAGATGCTGCAAGACTCACCTCCACAAGATCCTGCAGGGCAGCAGTATTGAGAGAGCCACTGTGAACAACAGCAGGCAGTCTGCTTACACAGGAATTCTGCACAGAGGATATGCTGAAGAAGAAGGTTAAGTCCTGCTTGGATGGGATGAAGAGCAGGTGTTGAGGGGGAGATAACAGGATGTTGCAACCGTTCTGAGTGCAACCGTTTCCTTTCACAAGGAAACGAACCAGCTGTAGCTCTCCATTTAGACATAATTCATTCTGGAGAAAGACAAGCTAATGCACACACTCCTGAATGACTGATTTGTTTCAAAAATTTATTGAAATGTAAAATATTTAACAGAAAACAATACTGGAGCCTCCTCATAGGAGGAGTTCACTACAGTAGGCGTAATAAAGGGACCAGCAGAACACACATAGGCAGAGAAGACACTGCTTGCCCATGGCTACTCGTTCATGTGGACATCGTGGCACCTCCAACTTCATACCCTTGAGCCACGAACAGACAGAACCAAAATGTGGTTAGCAAAGGTGTGGATACTCCTGTTCCTAAAGACTAAGACTGTGTATCAGAGGTACAAAAGAGAAGAACAAGAGCTGTCAATCAAAGGCCACACTGTCAATTCTGTATCACAGAAAAGGAAAATCAAAACCATTCAGAACCCTTTTGGGGAAAGAGAAGCATCAGAAAACACATGCCTTCCTCTCCATCATTCTGCACGAGGTTCAGGGGCACTAGACACAGCTACAAGTGCTATGGGATACGTCCCATTTGTACCTGCATCTTCACAAAAGTCAGATACCAGTTTTTCAGGATGCTGCACTAGAAGGCTACTGTACTTAAGTACTGCTTAGTACTATTGTATTAAAAGGGCTCAGGAGGTATCCTGGGAGTTAAAATGAGGAATTCTGGTGGTTTCTGAAGCATGGAATGAATGCTGGGGTCTAGAACACAGAAAAAAATAATAAAATACTGGGAATCAAAAGCTGCCATGTCAGGACTTCCAATGACTGCTTCTGGGCATGAGCTCTATCCTTCCAGATCCAGCAACCTATGTTGGGTTTCCAGAACGATCTGCTCCATCACCTCCGGTTTGAGAATGTCTTTGATCTGGAGTGGAAAGAAAAGTAACATTGGCACCAAAAATCAACTACTACTTTTGCGCACTCTATGGATCCCTGACACACAGCAATGAGCAGTGAGTTTAGCAGGTTGTGGTCAAACAAGACTATGGCAGAAGTGGGGAAGTTCGTATTGTCACGACAAGGATGCTTTGGAAAGCCAAAAGGAAGCCTCACCACCTAACTTCAGCAGCTGAGGAGGCCTTTCCATTCCCTCCCCACAGCATGGAATAAAGTAAACACCACCAGTTTCTGTACCTGATGAGGAAGAGATGCTTCATAGCAATATAAGACGCTGGTGTCAAAGAGCATCAGCTTATGAGTAACCAGAGCTACAATGCAGTTTCGGACCCGTGAGATCACCTCCCGGTCAGACAAAGAAACAGGCTGAGGAAGGACAAAGGAAAAGACATTAATACACAGGGAAATAATGCAAGCCTACTGTAAAAAAGCTGTGCCATGAACCTAATACCAAATCTGGAAAGCCTCAGGTTGTTCACATGCCTCTGGCTACGTTAAGACTAAGAAAACATCAGTGGTAGGAGAAGGCTGATCTCCCCTGAACCCTCACCTCCAAGTTGGTGACGAAGCCCCCTGTCTCTTCATCTCTCTGCTCTGAAGTTGGGTAGATCCAGATGTAACCATTGTTGCCAAGAATCACAGATGCACCACAGGGCAGGTCATGGAAGTGAGTCTTCTGGCGTTTCACAAGAGATGGCGAGACCTGAATGAGCACACCCTGGGAAAGCTGAAGAGGAGACCACGAGACTCAGCACGAGAGACATGAGCCACCACAGATCACGTCAAGTCACCGATAAGCACTCTGTTCCCAGTCAGGGAAGCAGTCAATTTTAACACCTTTTCCTGTAAAACTGAACATAAAACCTGCCTGCCTCTGGGAGTGCTGTGAGGATTAGCTAATGCCTGTGCAGTCCTTTGAAGATGAAGAATACTCTAAGTGCGTAGCACAAATGTTAATATCTTGATTGTAACTACACATCAACCATCCCTGCAGAAAAATGAGGAGAGGCCCAATTTAGCAGAACACTTTCCCTCTTAATCCAATCGCTGTCCTTCGCCCTTTGTGCAATAAGAACACTTCCCTTTCATCTTCTAAGTGCTAATACCCTTGGTCTGGTAATCCCAAACTGCAGCCTGCACTCCAATGGCCCCTTGGCTTATTTCAATGCACAAAAGCAGAGATAAATGCCAACTGCAGAAAACCTAAAATAGAGCTCTGGAGAAAAAGAAAGAAGTCACAGGGGCAATGGCCTGCAGAAGAGCAGTGGTGAAGTTTGAGTCAGAAGATTTCTCCCCAGGGTTTAATTCCCAAGTTGCTAGTGGGGGTTTGCAGGCTGTAACTGTGGTCTGGGAGAACAACAGCTCAAAGGGCACCTCCAGGGCACTTCCTCAACTTTGGGTAAACTCCATTTGGTGTAACCACATAGGAATTAATATTCCTCCTTAAACTGCAGGAATGGGTTATAAGAACATCTGCTCTACTTCAGAGCCATTTTCTTAAAAATCCCTCCAAAAGGATGTAACATGGAGCAGAATTAGGCCAAGATCAAGTGCTTTTGAACAACTTACCTTCCCGTATTTCAGACTCCGGGTGTGCAGCGATAATGCCCCATCAGTAAATACAGACTGCACCTCTGCCTGTCAGTGCCACTTAAGGAAACAAGGTCTCTAATGCTGCCCGGTGCCAACAGCCACTAGCTGCCTGCAGCAGAGAGCTCTCACTACCAGCCAGGCTGTTCTCCCCACACCCTTGGTTCATCTGAGTGCAAGCAGTGAAAGGATACACTGATGAGGTCCCCTTCCTGCAGACAGTCCCTCATTGCAAGCTCATCTTCTATTGATCTCCTCCTCTGAAATCAAAGAATCATAGAATCAACCAAGTTGGAAAAGACCTGTATGATCATTGAGCCCAACCATCAACACAGGACTGTCAAGCCCACCACTAAACCATGTCACTAAGGACAAACTGATCTCCCCTTATGACCTCCAGTCATGGCCACCCCTCATCTGCCTCCTCATAGTGGCCCACACTATATAGCTGCTGCTCATACCCCTTGCAGCCACCCCACCTCTCCCTTCATGATCTCCCCTCATGGCCACCCCTGCTCTCCCCTCACGATTTGCTTGCACAATGCAAGACAAGTTAAGTGTAGCTCAGAAAGAGAAAGCATCAGTTAACACACTGCAGGGGGACCATTGGGTGCTTAGCAAAATGCAGTCTGGTTGCCAAAGGAAAGGCAGAGCAGCACATCTAAAGTGTTTATGTCCAAATAACACCGCAAGTTAAAGATACTGGAGCACTGCAGATCCATTCCCCAAACCCAACACTGCCCTTGGGTACTGTGCGAAAGGCACCACAGAGTCCACGCAGGCAGAGGACAAGAGGGCTCTGGCACTCCTGCACTCACCAGTTCCCCACCAGGTAAGTTGATAGATGACAGCAGCAGGACTGAATCTAGCCTGGAATACGTCTCCACTTTCCATCGCTTCTGCTGAACCTGGAGAAGGAAGGATTATCCGCTGACACACACTTAGAGCGGAGCAGCTCTTCAGCAGAGCGGGATGTCCTGCGGCCAGCCTGCCTCCAGCCTCCTCGCCTGCTTTAAACCCCATCACAGCGTGCTTCCAGCAGTGTCACAAGCGCCGCGGGTCAGAGCAAGGCACAGACACGCAGCGGGACACCCTTCTCCTCCACGGCACATCCCTGGGCTTTACCTCCGTAATCCTCCCGACCACGACATCGCCGACCTCACCGTTGTACCTGGGAGCGGGACAAGGAGAGCAGCCCGTCACACACCTCATGGTGCCCAGCGCCAGGCCCGGCCCGGCCGGCAGCCAGCCCTCGCCCCGCACAGCATGCACGCTCCCCGCGCTCACCGGGTGTTCAGCGCTCGGACACAGATCAGCTTGTTCACCCTCTCCACCACTCCGGCCACCGAGGCGATGAGCTTGTCATCCTCCACATAGGTGCCGTGGCCCCTGTGGAGACAAGCGGCTGCCTGAGCAGAGCCCGAGGACAGCCAACCCTCGCCCCCTCTCTTCGCCATTGCCTCACCTCATATAGCCTGTATCCGTGGTTATCGTGTCCCCCGGAGCCACCAAGTGCTTCTCGGGGCCCTGAGGCGCGGTCACCACCGCCGGCTTGCGGGGCACTGGCAACCGCATGGTAACCGCGGCCATCTTGACTGAGGGCGGTGCAGCACCGTGACCTCGTCCGCAGGCACCTTCCGTCCGCCATGTTGGCTACTGGCGGGAAGCCCCTGAAGCGCAGGCGTCGCCATCTTGAGTGTGGGCGGTGCTGAGGTGTCCGGGCAGCCATGTTGGTTCCTGTCAGGGAAGCAAAGGCAGAGAGCGGCCATGTTTAGTGAGGGCAGGCTGCACTGGGGGCCCAGCACCCCGCTTTGGGAGGCCACCCCCGGCTAACCCTAACCCATGAGCCTGTCCTACTGCATGAGGGTCATTGGGCAACCCAGTGTTTAATAGCACAAGCCCACATGTAGGGACTGCAGGAAGGCATACACCCAGGTGGTGGTTAGACTTGGCTTAAGGGATGAGTTGACAGTTCCCTTGGCAAAGCTCTTGTAATGGTAAATAATAGGGGGTGTGTGAAAGTTTTGATCATTTAATTCAAACCCAGCTAGATTTTCAGAGGTGCTGAGGAAATACCAAAGAAAAAGAAGGCAGCAATGACCTCCAGCAATTTCATTCTTTTCCTTAAATCAAAAATCAACCTATTCTTCCAAGCAGGACTTGTGTCTGTAACCCATCACAGCTGGAATATGACCATTAGTTCATGGAAGATACTGAAGGATCTCAATAGCTGTTGCTTCAGGTAGAGCGTACATGTGGGCACAGGGAGGTACCAGACTTCATACTGGTACGTGCTTGCAGCCAGCACCCACCTCTTCTCTTTCATACCTGAAAAGGGTCTTTCCTCTTCCCACCTGCACTATTTGCTCCAATAAATGATGCTGCATCTTCTAATTCACCTCTTATTTAGCTGAAATCTCCACTCATTCCAACCACTACATCCCCCCCATTAACCAAATAAAGCTCTCCATGCTGTCCCCTCTTCTAAACGATAAATGTGCCAAGTAGTTTTTATTTAGAATACAAGAGAGAGAGGTACAAACGTATTTACACTGTGTACATATACAATCAAATAATATATAATATCAAAGTTCTGTAAATACTGTTTACATAAATATTTACACGGTTAAAGTGACACTTGTTCTTCTCGGGAAGTAAAACACCGTTTAGTGAGAACTTTATACACCTTAGATTTAGAATTAAGATTAGAATAGCTTCTGTCGAGCTCTATGATACACAGCCCTCCCTGTTCGCCTATGGCAGGACTCCAGAGGGCGCTTGGAGTTGTCCTTGGGGACAGAGCTGGCCTTGGACCGGTTTCCCTTGACCCCGGAGGGCAGCAGGAGCAGCCGAAGCGTTCCGGGGATCAGACCCCACAAAACCTGCCCGTAGATGGGCGCTTCCAAGGGGAGCATCCCTGTGGAACGTGGCCTGCCCCCCCCCTCTCTGCCCATGGCATCGCTCCGAGGGGTCTGGCAAACCCCAGTGCACAGCTCGGGCTGGAGGAAGGCAGGTGAGGGTGGGGGGAAACGCAACCCGTTGCTCAATGAGGAGGGAAATGGGTCCCTTGGAAAGAGCCGCCGGAGCCAAGCAGGCACGAATGGGGCTGTGACAGGCTTTCAGTGGGATGTGCAGCAGATGGACGCTTGCTGGAGCACAGGAGAAGGGATAAGAGCAGCGTTTCCTTCTATCAGGTTATGTGTCACATCCGGGCAGCGCTCCCCAGCCAGTGCACCAGCACATCCACACAGACCATCCAGCTGTGTCCCTTGTCCCCCTGCTCACCCCAGGAACCAGCAGCACCCATCCTACACCACATCTCCCCAGGGAGCATCCCACATGGTGCGGCTCAGAGCTAGGGGGGGGTCCGTCACCAGCCTCCCTGCCAAACCCCACCAACACAAAAAGCAGCCCTGCCATGGGTCAACCACCCCTAGTCCATCGCATGCCTCAGCATCTGTCTTTGCTGTCCCAAAACGTGCTGCCGCACCGAGGGCTTCACAGCACCATGGTGGGGATGTGATGGGCCAAAGAAGCAGGATGGGGCACGGGCAGTGCCGGCGAGTGAGCCTGCAGGGAGGCATTGGGGGGCCGATGGCGAGCGCTCTTCTGGTGCGCCCGCAGCCCGGCAAGCTGGGAATAGGCACTTTGGCAAACCTGGCACTTGTAGGGCCGCTCGCCGGTGTGCAAGCGGACGTGGTTGCGGAGGGTGGAGGACTGGCTGAAGCGGCGGTTGCAGAAGCGGCACACGAAGGGCTTGTCCAGCGTGTGGATGCGCATGTGGGAGCGCAGGTTGCTGCGGGAGTTGAAGCCGCGGTGGCAGATGACGCAGCGCATGCGCCCCGTCGTGCTGGCCCCCGTCTCCACCGCGTGGAAGTCCTCTGGGGACAATAGGGACCGTCAGGAGCTGCTCCAGTGCACAGCCTGAACCCCAATGGGACAGTGCTAAATAACCACCCTGAGCCCCCTCACTGGCTCCCTTTGGGGTCACAGGCTGGTACCTGGGCCTTTAGGATGGGACCAGAGCTGGGAACGGGCTCATGCAAATTTAGGTGAGGGGGTAACACTGAAGCCAACATGTGTCCCCTATAGAGGGGCACAAAAAGCACTGTTTTCCCCACCCAGCTGTGTCAGGCAGTCGACCACAGCACTAACAGCAGCCATGGGCAACCCCCAGAATTACTGGGGATCTGCTCAAGCTGTATGGATCTGTCTCATAGTCCCTATGTTGTCCCCAATTCCCTGCAGAATCTGACATAACCTCTGGGATACACCTGCCCCATGCCCACCCTGTGGCCTCAGAGCTGTGGATGGGGTGGATGCAGGAAGGGCAGAGATGCTGCACCCAAGGCTGCTTCCAGTGTTACCTACCATGCTTGTTCTTCTTCTGCTCCTCTTCCAGCCCTGGCACACCCGGGATGCCCAGGAAAGTGTTATGGGAGTTCCCGTACCAGACCAGCAGCTCTTGGTCCGGAGGAATCATCTATAAAGAGAAATACAGGCAGCGTGTTGGGAGCAGCAATGAGCAGAGATGAACACCCTTGAATGGTCACTTCAGACCTACCCTGGCTATAGCCCATATCCTGCAAGACCCTGCTGCCATCAGGGACCTGCCAGCAAGTCCCCAGTACTCTCTGGCAGGCACAGCAGAGCCCACACTGCAGCACTGGAGGCAATGCCACAGCTCAGCATCATCCACTGCCGGCACAAACCTGCACCGGGGTCTCCCGCAGGCTGGGCCACAAACATGACAGCAAATAAGCAGCTACAGAGCACACAGGTGGAGCTGGGGACTCTGAAGGATGCAGAGGTCCCTGAAGCTCTCAGAGACATGGAGAAATAAACCATTTGTGGGCCCACAAACTGCACGGATGCACAAGTGACAGACCAAAGCAAGGAGCCAGCAAAGGGCTCATCAGCCCAGGGGATCAAAGGAGAGATGGGGGACTGGCACTGGAGAGCGTAGTTCAGATGCGAGGTGCTGCCCACATCCCACACCAAAGCCATGGTGCCTGCAACAGCCAAAGATCTATAGGGCCAGGAAAAGGTTTGTGCACCACCCATGCTCCAGTTTTCCTAAAATGATGGCACTTCTCCTTCCTCCGTTATTCCCGTTACGTTCTGCATTGCTGGGGCAGCCGGAGCAAACAGCCAGAAAAGGCCGTTTGAGCCTCACCACATGAAGCAGCCATGACTGGGAAGCGGAGTGCTCCGACACCAGTTCAGGCAACACTAATAACAGCATCACTTCACAAAACATACACATTTTCCCCTTGCAGGTCCCTGGCATTAAGAGCATAATTTATAAATGGGAAACTCCTGCATTTCAGAGGCCAGCTTTCCATACACAAGTAGACCGAGAAAAGCATCATCCCCATGAAACACACCTCATAAGTTGCATCACCCAAAGACTGAAAATGTGCCTAATTTTAGGCACCCGAAAGCAGGAATTTGACTTCATATGTTTAAGTGTCCATCTGCTTAAAGACCTCGCTGGGGCTGCGGAGTAGGAATACGGGAGGCAGGGAAAGGCTACATCATCTTACATCCCAAATTGGTGCAATTTCATTTTCTTTTAGCAGAAAATGAGTTATTTTTAATAGAAGCAAATAGAATAAGAGATTGCTGAAAGGACACACCACATTACAGGGGTGCATATATGCGTGTGCAGGTTTTATCCTGCTGGAGCACCAGCAGTAGGCGAGAACATGCGTGTTTATGCCCCAAAGCAATTTAAACTGCCCTGCCAGGGATCTCGCAGCCTTCAGACCAAAGGCTAAAACTTGCTGCTCTCATTTTATTTTCCAGCAGCAGCAGCAGCTTGGAATTGTTGAGGGCAGGAACAGAAAAAACACATGGAAATATTGAAGGCAAATGGCAAAAAAAGGCATAAAATCTGATTTTGTGGAGGGTAAATGAGAAAGAGATCCTAAGAGATATTGCACTGCAGTGACGGTGCAGCAGAGGTGGGTACAGAGCAATAGGCTGGGCAGCTCATGATGCCCACTGGGAAGGGGATGCAGCAGGCAGGAAGCTTTGCATGGGGAGGGGAAAAGGAGATCAGTAAGCCCCCCATGGCTGGCAGGAGATGGAGGATGGATTACAGTGCCCATGCACAGCACCACCAACTTCAGGTCACTGTTTGCATACCCTGCCCAAGACTGAGTAATTCTGGCTGGTCTCATGGTGATGCTGTGCTCTCGGTTCAGGGTTTGTCATGAGAGAAGTGACAAGGCAGGAAAATGGGTGGCAACAGGGGCTTGCTGTGGTCCAAGGTACAGATATCTGTATGCCCATAACTCCACATTAGGGGATTAACAAGCAGAGAGAGAAGCACAAAAGGAAAACCCTCTCCTTTTCCTTTTCTTGTTGGGTGCACAGACTCCAATGAGTTGGAACAAGTGATTGGTTTTGGACCGCATGTGTGTGTGCATGCACTGATGTGCGCTGTACAGGAGTGAATGAGGAGCCCACAGAAGATGCAGATCCTCAACCTGTCATGCCTGGCTGTGACCCAGCTCCTCAAACACTCCTTTCTTCCCTTCCTTGCACTCAAACATGTAAAGCCTCAGCCCTTCTGCTCCTCTTGTGCTGACCTGGTGGCAGTGGGAGCAGAAGCACCCTTTGCCCCCACACCTAGTTCTCCCCATCACTTGGGGTTCATCACTCCCAACATTTCAACATCTCCGCTTGTGACAAGAGAATTAAACTTGTACTGCTCTGGCACTCACTGCTTCAGCCCCAGGAACAAGCCTGCAAACTGACCATGATTATAACAGGGCCTCTACATGCACCTCCCCAGATATCAGTTCACCTGCCCCATCATCCGTGTTCACACAGGCTGTGAGATGCATGGCTGAATTACACCATGGCCACATGGAATTATTTTACTTATTTGCAGAATAAGAACAGTAAGAAAAATCAATTAAGCTGCTGTCACTATGGCACAGCTGCCCACGGGAGCACCAGGTCTCAAAACTGGGCACAGCTGAAGCCTATGGAGTGTTCAGGATGGGGAGAGCAGCACAGGAGCACTTGGGGCTCTTGCTTGAGTGCTGTGCAGGGAAAGGTGGCAGAACCAAGAGGCATATGGGACTTTCCCGCAGCACAATACCTGGTCTCTTCTTACCCACCCAACATTCCTTTCCCATCCCACTGCAGCAATCCCACACCCAGTGCTGATGCTGTCTCAGTGCAGGATTGGGCCATGGTCCTGTGCTGAGGAGCGTTTGAGCATCCACTCTCTGTGAGACAGCCTAGGAGCCCAGGCTGATCCCAGGAGCTGCCCTTCCAAAGAACCAGTGGCACCCACATTCTTTCCTAGCCAAGAGCCTCTCCCAGCTGCAGGCAGGGCAGCAGCCCACGCAGGTCTGGACCCAGTACCAGAACGAGACAGTCCCACGGTGCTGGTGTGGGATGGAATGGGAGATGTTCCCTCTTGTGACACCTCCTCAAGCTACCACCTTTCTCCACCTACAACAGCACCAGTTTATGGGAACACTCTACACAAGCAGGGCTGGTCCCCACTGTCACACCACTGGTGCTGTGTGACTTGTACGTAGGTGGTATCAATAAAGCCAGGGAGCCAGGCTCCCATCTCTATCCCAACATCTCCCATAGGGAGCTGTGGGCACCTCCAGCTTTAATCCCACAGCATGACAACCTGGGACTGCCCTGGGAGCCAGTGCCTCTCCCCGTTCCTCTGCCAGTGCTTGGTACAGGAGCACATGGATGAGTCAGGCAGAGTCGGTCTGTTCTCCACAGCCCCACTGTGGGTAGCCCAAGGCAGGGGGGTACCAGCATTGCTCCCTGCCTAGCTCCCAAAGGCCTGATTCTGTTGTTTACAGACAGAGTTGCTTATGACCCTGGGCAAAAGCTTTGCAGAGGCACAGAACTCCCCATACTTCCCCTGCTGCAGAGAAGAGGGCTCTGCACAAAACTCAAGAGGACATCAACACCCCTCTCCTGACCAATGCCCCTCCTAGGCCAGGATTCCAGCTCTTACACTTTACACCCCAAAACAAGCTTGGTGTTGTTTGCTCTCCCACTGCTCAGCACACATCATCCCATGAACCCACTGAAAGGGGACGGAGAGAAGAGCCCTTTGCTGTTCCCTGAAGCTCATGCAATGGTTGTTCCCTGCAGTGCTCTCCTGTGCCGGGGGTCTCGGTGCCGGGTACGGCAAAGCCGCCCTGTGCTCCCACAGACACACAGCAACAGCCCTAAAGGAAAAGGGAGGGTCTGTGGGGTCTCCTGCTGCTGCTGCTCCTTGCCCTGCTTACCTCAATAGCCTTGTAGAAGATGCTGTTCCCAATCTGGACCACCTCCAGGTTCTGCTCCTGCTCGTTCCGCGCACATTTGATGTAGGTCATCCAGCTGCGGTGGTCCTCCTGGCTGGCATCGATAAAGTACCGCACAGTGCCGTCTTCATTGAAGACCTGGGAAGGGAAAAGAGCATTTGGTAGCGATGCTGCCACAACGGAATGAACCTCATCACCTCCTGCACCTGGGATAGCATCCCTGGGTGGACAGGAACAAGCTCAAAGCCAGCACGGCATCAGGGCTGAGACCCTTCCAGTAGCCAGGAAATTGCCAAACCCTTCCTGCTCATGGTGCTGGACCACACAGCCGCATGGGAGCTGAAGAAAGGAGCCCTGCTTCTGCTTTGCAGGCGCAGCTGGCCCTACCAGCCCATAGCCACAGGGATAACGCAGCTCCCGGCCTCAATACCGCTTTACAGAAGGGGGGCCGACATCCTGCTGCTGCCCATGGGGGCCGGGGTATCCCTGGGATGGTGCCTGCCAGACGTGGAGTTCAGGGGAAGAAGCTTTGCAGTGTGGTAGGAAAGTGAGGCAAGCTTCTATTAGGCATAAATTTATAATAATCATTAAGAAGTGCAAGTCTGACACCGAGTGAAACAAATGAAACAAATATAACCAGAGGAAAAAACCCCTCTGCCCACTGGGCACCCACCCAGTGTGATGCCCTGGCAGCTCAGAGCCCCGCGGCTTCACTTGAGGTTAACAGCACCGGGACTGGGACAAAGCAAGGGACAAGGCAGAGCCGGTTTCATGCACTGTACACAGGGAAGGGCAGGGTGTGATCCCGCTGCATGGGACATGAGCGACAGCCTTTCAGCGCTGGATGCAACCCTGAGAGCTGAAGAAGGCCTTGGGTCCCCCAACCCCACCTGCCCTGGAGGAAGCCAGACCTTCGCACAGGCAGGGAAACTGAGGCACAGGGAGGGTGCCTGACAGCACACAAGCACAGGGCAAAGCCCGTGGGCCCCGGCACCACATCCCTGCTGCTCCCCGGGGCTGGGGATACTGGGGGTGTCGTTACCTCCCACATGAGGTTGTTGTTCTTGCACAGGTCCACATGCTCGGGCGAGATGACCCTGCCCGTGAACGGCCCCATCTCGGTGCCAGCCTTGATCCAGGTCTTGGAGAAGATGCCGAGCCCTTCGCCGGGGATGGAGCTCTGGGCGATGATCACTTCCGACGGCAGCACCAGGCTGGAGAGCTTCTGCACCTCTGCGGGCAGCGGCAGGGGGCTCGGACCGGGTCCTGCCGCCCTCCTTCCATTCACCCCATGCCCACCCCACCGCGGGGAAACCCGAGGAGGGGACAGAGGGGACCCAAATCCCGGGGCCGAGCCTTTGAAACGCCCAACCGGGCTCCTACAAAGCGGTACAAGGTTCCCCCGGGGGCATTGAGGAGATACCTGGGAAAAGCAGCCCGGGCCGGGCGAGGGAACGGGGCTGAGAAAGGAGGTTAAATGGTGTCTATTTCGCCCCATCCAGCAATTTGTCATGCTGTTAAAGTGATCTGCATTCATTAAACTCAACTAGAAAGAAATTGCTAATTCTAAATTCATTAGTCCTTTAGGAATGCTGTAGCGGTACATTGTGCCTGAATGGCGCAAGGGCTTGTTTAAAAGGGCCCAGGAATTCCTCTTACAAAATGGGGAGATGAGATGGTTGACATATAGTGAATGGAAATGGAATTAGCCTTCATGGTAAATTAAGAGAGGAACAGAAAATCCGAGAGGGGGAAAAGGGAGCCGGGACGCCCCGGCGATGCCGGGGCGAGAGAAAAGATATTGTCCCGGGCGGCTGAATGCGGGCCCCCCCCCGGCTCCCCCCAGCCCGCGGTTTAAGTGGGAACTTTCTCAGGTCAAGCCCAAGTTAACCAAATGAATTTAAAGCCCTTCTTCCCCAGTCAACTGCTATTACACGGCTGGGGAGAGCCGGGCGCCGGCAGCCACGTCCCGCAGCCGGGCACTGGGGGGGATGGAGAAGGGGGTCCGGAGGGGCCGTGTGTGTGTGTGGGATGTGCACTCACCTCCGGAGAAGGACTGAGCCAGGACCTCAGCCGTGAAGGCGGTCTTGGGGCTGCTCTTCTCCTCGAAGAGCTGCTCGCCCAGGACGTTCCTCCAGCGGCCGTAGAGGAAGCTGTGCAGGATGTCGGAGGTGATCACCTCGGCCAGCGAGAGCCCCTGCGGCTTCAGCCCGGGCTTGAGCACCAGCGCTTCGGCGGGGAGCACCGAGCCCATCATGGGGGCGAGGCAGAAGCGGGCGGGCCGGGCTCGGCGGGGCGCAGGCGGCGGGCCGGGCTCCGTGCGGCTCGGCGGCTCCCGCCCGGCTATATATGAGCTTCATTGACCCTCCTAATTGGTTATTAATGACCTCCCTGACGTTGGCGGAGAGACTGGGGCTGCCGGAGCGAGGCGAGCCGTCGGAGCCCCCCCCTCCCCTTCTTCTTTTCCCTCCCCTCCCCGGGGGTGGGGTGGCTGGAGGGAGGGAGGGACACGGCGAGCACACACACACACACATACACACGTATATACACATATATACACACGTATATACACACATGTACACACATGTACACACGCACCGCTTCGGCGCCTCGCACCCCCCGGGCCCAGGCAAACGCAAACCCGGGCACCTGCACCCGGCCACCCGCCGGGAACGGCGAAAAGGCAACGAAACGGGCAGCAATGATACCCCCTCGGTGCCCCACAGACGGGGAGCGCCCTCCGGCCCGGCCCCGCTCCCCACCCAGTCCCTGTGCTCGTTTTAGGGGTGAAACGCGGCGCTTCGGGGCCGCTGCGCATCACAACGAAATCGGAGGCGCTGGGGCCGTCCCCCAGCCCTGCTCAGCGGCTTCGGGCCCCCGCGGCCCCCGGGGAACGGACCCGAGTTCCGCCGGTGAGCTCCGAGCCGCCGCGGATCCCCACTGCGCCCCGCATCCCCGAGCCCAAGGAGACCCCGGGAGGGGCCGGCGCTGCCCCCCAGATCCCAGGGAGGGTCCCCAAGCACAGAGCGAGAGCGGACGCACCCTCGGGGCTGTTCCCCGCTTGCATCCAGGGCCAGGCTGTCCCGGATGCTGCCTCCAGCCCGGCCTGCTCCGAATCCCGCATCCCCGTTGCGTTTACCCAGGGAAGGTGGGAACGACGGCGAACTGTGCCCACGGGTGGAAGGGGCAGGAGTGGATCCTCCACTTCCCCACAACGACAGCCATATCCTGAGCACCTCCGGGGCTTTGCCAGCACAGCACTCTCATTCCCGCACCCAAAACCATTCCCCGGCCACCTCTGCCCCCCAGGAAGGTGACATTAGAATGGTCCCCCCAAAACTCGGTACTCTCCCTCGCTTAGGGCCCGCAGCTTTCAGCTCAGCAAAGGGTTAATCTTTGCTGGATTTAAACCCAATCCTGCTGTGTCGGAGCTTAGAGCCCTCTCCTTAGCCTTGTTCTTTTGATTTTCATGGGGACGAGGGGCTGTAAAGGGCTGAGCTGGGGGGGGGGGGGATGAAGAAGGATGGGTCCCCAAATTCCTCAAGCTCTCAAAGTCGGCTCCTGCATTGGTAGCCCCGCGGGGGCGAACCGGGCCGGGGCAAGAAGCTGGCACAATCCAATCCCTCTAATCCCGCGGCCCCGATGGGTATTTATCGGGTGAGGCCGTCGGGCGGCTTCTCCCCTTGTCAGGCGAAAATGATGCTACAGCCCAGGTGCAATTATTTCTATTAGCCCAATCACGAAGAGGCGCAAATGGCAGGAATCAACCCAAACCTGCGGTTACGGAGCGTGTTTGCTCGGAGACAGGCAGCGCTCCCCTGGAAAGGGGAGGTTAACAGCCTGCCGGGCTTGCTTTGGGGTTTAATGTGCATTAAGAGAGGAGTTTATTTGGGTTTATTTCACTGGATTTTGGCTACGGGAGCCGCCAGCCGCGTGTGAACATCGCAGCTTCGCTAACCAGAACGCATCAGGTGGAAAGCTCCCGCAGCCAGCGCTTCCTGCGGCCGCCGAGCAGCCGATCCCTCGCGTTGCCTTTTTCCTTAATGATTCCCCCTCCCTCAAGTTATCCCGGGACACAAAATATAATAGATGCCCTTAAAACCCCTGCGGGGCTGCGCTGCAGCTCGGCCCGGCTGCGGGGATGCGGGGATGCGGGGATGCGGGGATGCGGGGATGCGGGAGGGGGGTGATGGCAAAAAGAGATGGGAAAGAAAAACCCTTCCATTTTCCGCGTGGTTTTAAATCTCCCCAGCTGTTTCCCAAAGCTTCTTCCCGGTCCGAGGAAGGTGCTTTGCTGTGCCCCCTCCTCATCCCTCTCTCTCTTTTTAATATCGCAGCTATCCCTCCTTTTTAACATTTAAGAGGAAACAAGTTTAATATTCATGGCTGTTAATAGAGAAGGGCCATTATCGCCGCCCCATTGTTCTGAGCCCCGCACAATGCTGCTTGTATTTTCATGTGTATATTCCCAAAGTTCCTTCTGAGCGTTTAGTGAGCACTTTAATATTCATGGGTGTTAATAGAGAAGCCCTCAGTATATTGGCATATTGTTGGGAGGTGTACATATTGGTCTGACTTTGAATAGCCACAGTCCTCTTTTCTTTTGCTCTGTTTTGCAGGGTTGATGGGCCAGGAGTAAATGGGCATTTTTTCCCCCCCGTCTCCCCCTTACAGAGAGAACATCTTTATTCCAGTCCCAGACTTTCTGGTTTCCCATTCAGGACCCTCAGAAATAATGTCAGGCAGAAGAAAAGTGGAGCAAATCAATCTTTCATGGTCTTTTTGAGACCAATTTGACATCCATGGACTCTTCTTTTCTTTCACAGCCTACAAGGGGATGGTCAGGATCTGGACAAGGTTGGGGTCTGATGAGGGGAGACATGGGATCATAATGCAGCAAAGAGAGAAAAGAAAAGCAAAACAAGAAAAGATTGCAGGGATGGGGTGATGGAGGAAAAATGAGGGTGAATGACAGTGCAAGAAAGGAGATTAGAGCCCAGCAGCTGCTTTTTGGGGGGCGGGGGGTAAGGGGGGAGCTCTCGCCCCTCTTCCAGCCCTTCGCATGAATAGGATTTGAACAGAGCGGAGATTGATTTATAGTTATTGCAGTCGAACATTTATTGCTCTTAAAGAGCGGCGGGGAGAAAAGAGAGAAAAGGGGCTTGAAAAGCTCCTTTCTGTATTAAAGAGGTATCAAATGAAGACTGCTGAGATAATATACAGTGGCCAATGGGAATTTGATTTGCTTTAAAATTTAACTCTTGTGGGGCCGCCGCCGCCCCGGGCCGAGGGATGCTCGCTCCTCTCCCCCTGCCCGCTTCTACCGCAAACCGCTGCGGCGGCTCCCGAGCGCGGCGGGGACCGGCTCCGGCCGCGGAATCAACGTTAATTCATCGTTATTGCGCTCTTTTAATTTATCATTTGGGGGGGGGGATGGATGGGGTGTGAAGGGGAGCGGGATGCGGAGCAACGAAATAACCGGCGCTAGGAAGAGCCCTTTTCGGAGCTGAGTTTTCCTGCTCTAAACCCGCAGGTTTCTTCTCCCCGGCAGCAGAAACGCGATCGCAGCCGAGTCCCCCGGGCGCAGAAAGGAGCCCATTGTTCAATGGGCAGAAATACATTTTTAGCGGTGATTGAAAGCTCCCCTCTCGTTTGAACTCCAGAAGAAAGTCCCTGGCAGGGAAGAGCATCCCCCCCTCCCTCTGCCCCAACATCTGTTTGGAGCAATCCAGGCTCTAGGGCAGAGCCGGGCTCTGCCCCCTCCCAAAGTCATTAAAAAGATATTAGTTGAGCTGAGAAAAGTCCAGCGCAGCCCCCGATGGGGTCCAGGGGGGGTGCGTGTCATTAAACACGGGTTTGGATTTGCCAGCGCTAACACCAGGCGAAGGCGCAGACGGGGTCTGAGTTCAAAACCTCCCCGTCCCCGGCCGCCGCTCTGCGCCCTGCCCGCTGCCCGGGGCCCTGGTACCCGCGGCCGGCGCAGTGCGGCAGGGACGACCCCATCACCTGCCCCGTACTCCCCGCCTCTCCGAGCGCCGCTGGAGGGGAGGACGGCGGCGACAGCCAGTCCCGGAGCGGGGCCGGTCACTGCTTTGGCCGCATCCCCCGCACCTCCACGGGCTGCAAATGCCCCGGGAGCCGGGGGGAAGGAGGGGCAGGAGGGATCATTGCACCCCTGCGGCTGCCGCAGGAGCCAGGCGCCTCCGAAGTTGCTAAATGTGTCATTTATTAAAGCATTCAGGGGGCTTTTCTTTGGCGTTTGCTTGCAAACTCACAAAGGCCGAGCTGCTGTTTGGGGGTCTTTTCTGATGGAAAAAGGGCTCGGAGACCCCCGGCACAAAAGAAATCCTGGCAGTGCTTTCAATGGCCAGGACTCAATGAGGGGGACCCTGTGCGCAGCGGGCGGGGGCGAGGGGCCGCCCGGTGCTGCCTGAAAGGCAGGCCTGAATGTAATGGGGAGATCTGCGTTTATTTGTTGGGATCACATTTAATTAGCTTAGTACAACCCTTGAAAGACAAAGGGACCTCAATCTGGATCCAATCTGAAGCTCGTTTGGAGAGCGAGGGCTCCTGGAAAAGTCAAAAGAGAGAAAGGAGAAAGAAAAGGGAGGCTGGGAGAGAAAGAGGCTGGGGGCCCAGCCAGGTGACTGGCACGCGTGAAACAAGGGGGCCTTTTGGGCACAAGGCAGGGCTCAAAAGGGAGGGAGGAAAATAGCCTCTTCCTCAGGTTTTACCTACTTAAACCCTCTGAAGGGGCCAGAGCTGAAAAGCCTCAATAGGGCCTAAGGAGGCTGCAAAGCAAACAGCAGCGCTGGAGAGGGGGCTCCGGCCCTGCCGCCGCAGCAGTTGGCAGCACTCGGTTATGGGAATGTGCCCAAATGTTACCTGCGCTCCCAGCGCCCGCAGCAGGAGCCGGGGGGGGGAATGAGGCGATGCTCGGGATGAGCCTCGGCTGGGGGGGCCGGTGTGGCTGCCCCTTGCC